TACTCTTCTCCTGACCTCTACACCTTCCTGACTCCACCCACCAGCGGGACATCCCATCGTCCAACATAACCCTCCATTAGGGCAGACAATACTCTTCTCCTGACCTCTACACCTTCCTGACTCCACCCACCACCGGGACATCCCATCGTCCAACATAACCCTCCATTAGGGCAGACAATACTCTTCTCCTGACCTCTACACCTTCCTGACTCCACCCACCACCGGGACATCCCATCGCCCAACATAACCCTCCATTAGGGCAGACAATACACTTCTCCTGACCTCTACACCTTCCTGACTCCACCCACCACCGGACATCCCATCGTCCAACATAACCCTCCATTAGGGCAGACAATACTCTTCTCCTGACCTCTACACCTTCCTGACTCCACCCACCAGCACCGGGACATCCCATCGCCCAACATAACCCTCCATTAGGGCAGACAATACACTTCTCCTGACCTCTACACCTTCCTGACTCCACCCACCACCGGACATCCCATCGTCCAACATAACCCTCCATTAGGGCAGACAATACTCTTCTCCTGACCTCTACACCTTCCTGACTCCACCCACCAGCACCGGGACATCCCATCGCCCAACATAACCCTCCATTAGGGCAGACCATACTCTTCTCCTGACCTCTACACCTTCCCGACTCCACCCACCACCGGGATATCACTCACTCTCCCACATGACCCTCCATAAAGTAGAAAGTCCTCTGCTTTCTGATTCCACCCCCCTTAGAAATCTCCCACCCATCTATCCATCATCCTCATGACATTCTCTCAGGCTTTAGTAGTCAATCTGCGTCTATGAAGAGTAACTCTGAAAAACGTTAGAGAGACTCTACAAAACATTTTCCTTTCTAGAATTGGCTAAAAAAGTGTTTTTTTTCCCTTAAATAATCCCGTCCAGGTCAGTATTGTAGACGGAAGGCGGCACGAGGCCTCCTAAGATATCTGCACAACTTACCCACTGAATGAAGCCGGGCAGGTTGTCCTTTATGTAAGTGAAACACTTTGTAAGATTCTTAGCAATGTAGACGGCGCCGTCGCAGCTTTTCTCCCATAACACTTCCAGTCCTGGACCCAACACCTCCACCGCCTGGGCATAATACACGGGGACATTCCTCTCCAACCAGCTGCGTGACCAGGGCAGAAAACAACGACAAGAAGACAACAAGGTCAACTTTGTGTGACACACCAATCATAGTATTAGAAGGACCAGTGTGGACGGTCTGTGGGGATGTAAAAACAACTTGAACAGATCAAGCCCCCCGGTTTGGAGGAGGCGGCCAAGCGACCAGGTCGGGAGGAGGCGGCCAAGCGGCCAGGTCGGGAGGAGGAGGCCAAGCGTCCAGGTCGGGAGGAGGAGGCCAAGCGTCCAGGTCGGGAGGAGGAGGCCAAGCGTCCAGGTCGGGAGGAGGAGGCCAAGCGTCCAGGTCGGGAGGAGGAGGCCAAGCGTCCAGGTCGGGAGGAGGAGGCCAAGCGTCCAGGTCGGGAGGAGGAGGCCAAGCGTCCAGGTCGGGAGGAGGAGGCCAAGCGTCCAGGTCGGGAGGAGGAGGCCAAGCGTCCAGGTCGGGAGGAGGAGGCCAAGCGTCCAGGTCGGGAGGAGGAGGCCAAGCGTCCAGGTCGGGAGGAGGAGGCCAAGCGTCCAGGTCGGGAGGAGGAGGCCAAGCGTCCAGGTCGGGAGGAGGAGGCCAAGCGTCCAGGTCGGGAGGAGGAGGCCAAGCGTCCAGGTCGGGAGGAGGAGGCCAAGCGTCCAGGTCGGGAGGAGGAGGCCAAGCGTCCAGGTCGGGAGGAGGAGGCCAAGCGTCCAGGTCGGGAGGAGGAGGCCAAGCGTCCAGGTCGGGAGGAGGAGGCCAAGCGTCCAGGTCGGGAGGAGGAGGCCAAGCGTCCAGGTCGGGAGGAGGAGGCCAAGCGTCCAGGTCGGGAGGAGGAGGCCAAGCGTCCAGGTCGGGAGGAGGAGGCCAAGCGTCCAGGTCGGGAGGAGGAGGCCAAGCGTCCAGGTCGGGAGGAGGAGGCCAAGCGTCCAGGTCGGGAGGAGGAGGCCAGCGCCCAGGTCAGGTGCACCCATCAATGAATAGTGAATTAGAATGTCATAAGCATGGTCATCTAAACAAACCAAAGTGGGCTGACGCGGGGCCTGAGGAGGAAGTTCCGTGTACCCACCTGTGCCCATGCTGGGCATAATGCGACACTTTGCTCCATGCTTGCTGTGATGCCGACAACACACCCGTCTGCTGCAGAATTCTCATCGATGAAGAAGCTGCAACCAGAAGAAGACCGGCGTTAGTACCAGCAAGCTGTGAGAACATAAATGGTCAGGAAACCTTTCATGGAACCCCTGGAGATATCTCCTGAGGTTGCTGGAGGATCCGTGGGCCGTGATAGATTGATCTCTCTCCTACACCGACCACCAAGGTAAGGGGCCCTTCCTGTGCTGACCACCAATGT